CTCGGGAGCGCTGCTGCTCGGGAGCGCGGCTGCTCGGGAGCGCGGCTGCTCGGGAGCGCGGCTGCTCGGGAGCGCGGCTGCTCGGGAGCGCGGCTGCTCGGGAGCGCGGCTGCTCGGGAGCGCGGCTGCTCGCGCGGCTGCTCGGGCTGCTCGGGAGGCTGCTCGGGAGGCTGCTGCTCGGGAGCAAGGCTGCTCGGGAAGGCTGCTGCTCGGGAGGCTGCTCGGGAGCGCGGCTGCTCGGGAGCGCGGCTGCTCGGGAGCGCGGCTGCTCGGGAGCGCGGCTGCTCGGGAGCGCGGCTGCTCGGGAGCGCGGCTGCTCGGGGGCGCGGCTGCTCGGGAGCGCGGCTGCTCGGGAGCGCGGCTGCTCGGGAGCGCGGCTGCTCGGGAGCGCGGCTGCTCGGGAGCACGGCTGCTCGGGAGCATGGGAGCACGGCTGCTCGGGGCTGCTCGGGAGTGCGCTGGAGCGCGGCTGCACTCGGTTGCTCGGGAGCACGGCTGCTCGGGAGCACGGCTGCTCGCGCTCCAGCGCGCGGCTGCTGCACTCGGACTCGGCTGCTCGGGAGCACGGCTGCTCGGGAGCACGGGAGCTCGGGAGCACGGCTGGCTGCTCGGGTAGGGGAGAAGCTGCTGCTCGGGGGTGGAGAGAGAAATTGGGGGAGATGGAGGAGAGAAATAGGGGGAGATGGAGGAGAGAAATAGGGGGAGGTGAGAGAGGGTGGATAGGGTGGAGAAAGAGAGATGAGGGGAGGTGAGAAAGGGAATCCGAGAGGGTGGAGAGGGAAGAGTGAGAGGAGGGTGAGATAGGGAAACCGAGAGGGTGGAGATATATAGAAAGAGAGAAATAATGACGGAGAAAGAGACGAGGATATGTAAAGAGATAGAGAGAAAAAATGGGAGGGACGGTGAGTGAGAAATAGGGGGAGATGGAGGAGAGAAATAGGGGGAGGTGAGATAGGGTGGAGAGGGAAGAGTGAGAGGAGGGGTGAGATAGGGAAACCGAGAGGGTGGAGATATATAGAAAGAGAGAGAAATAATGACGGAGAAAGAGACGAGGATATGTAAAGAGATAGAGAGAAAAAATGGGAGTGAGAGGAGGGGTGAGATAGGGAAACCGAGAGGGTGGAGATATATAGAAAGAGAGAGAAATAATGACGGAGAAAGAGACGAGGATATGTAAAGAGATAGAGAGAAAAAATGGGAGGGACGGTGAGTGAGAAATAGAGAAAAAGATTTATGAAAAGTGAGAGAGAGAATGAGGGGGAGGCAGAAAGAAGAGAAAGGGGGGAGATGGAGGGATAGAGAGGTTCTAGACTGTTAGGATAACCCCTTTAATTTTTAGGTAACCTGAAATCAATCTTTTAATTTTGGATCGACGATCTATTTCCCCACGAGAAGTATCTTATAGCACCAAATGTTCACATAACTATGATCCCGTTCTCTTCCCCTGAGAATAAAGTTTGCAACTTTTTTTCCCACCAAATTTGGTTTAGTTATGATTTCCGAAAACCGAATGTCAAATCTCCACTCTCATATAATAAAACCGAGCAAAACTAAACCAAGACAAAATTAAAAACCCGACCAAACCTTATCTAGGTCAGAATAGTAACCCGGTCCAACATTCGAACTTAAAAATATCCTACTGATTGAATCTTAATCCGGTTAGTCGTTGGCTTAACATGATATACGGTTTGTTTATAAACAGTAAACCAATAAAAATTGATTTTGTGGGTTTTTAGATTTCGATCTTTATAATTGTGGGGAAATATTGATATAACTTTAATTCGACGGGAAAATAGGTTGTAAACTTTATTTTCAGGGATAAATAGAACGGGATCATAGTTCCGTGGACATTTGGTGCTATACGATACTTCTCGTGGGGAAATAGGTCGTCGACCTTTTAATTTTTGGATTATCTTTTGGTGTACCTTAATAATTTGTTACAATTTGTACTATATGATTGATTCTGAAAACTTTAAGAAACATATGTGAAAACTACTCGAACATATTGTCCGTCAGTTAACATTGTAGTTAGAGATAGTAGTATATTTGGTTTGTCATCACATTTGCATTTACTTCCTTTTGTATTAATCTTTTGTTATATCAAATTTCTCCTTTTTATTTATTTTAAGTTTTTCTTTCTTTCCATTTTTCTAGTTTCTAAACTTTTTTACACTAACTTTTATATTTTAAACTTTTTTTTTAATTTCCTAACTCTAATTATTTTGGTTGATTGTCCATCATTAAATCATTTTATTCTTTTTCCGAAATGATTTTCTAAGTCTTCTGTCGTTATATACCTATTATTTTCTAACTCTTTTATTTTTCGGTTAATTCTTTTATTTCTTCTATAGTTTTTAATTCTTTCTTCTAGTGCATATAATGGGGCAATCAACCCCCTTCAAAAAACTCAACACGCTGTATAGATAGATTAGGTTATTTTGTGTTTATTTTTATGATATAAAATGACTTACTAGTTAAAAAATTTTAAGAACAAGTTGTTTATGTAGTATTTTCCCATAAATACCTGTCACACATTTCTAAACCGACTTAGTTACGTATATATGAAACAACATAACAGATTAATAGAAGATGGTTCAAAAACAAATCGTCATGGATAAAATGGATTTTGGGGAACTGTTAATTAAATATAGCTCTTTGGTAACAAAAATACTGAACTTAACAGCTTTGTTCCGTTAATACGTTTTTAGATCTATAAATAAGCACTTTTAATCCCATTCCCATGATCAAAATCAAATATTAAACATACATATCTCGAATTGTTAGGAAAAGAAACTAGCATTTTGAAATGTACACACTACTTTTTCAAACAGTAATAGTATTAGTCTCGATTCTATCGAGTTCCGTAGCTCAAGCTGGAAACATTCCAGCGGTTATAGCATTTGGAGATTCAATACTCGATACGGGCAACAACAATGACCTCAGGACTTTAACCAAAGTTAATTTCTATCCTTATGGAAGAGATTTTGTAACTCGACAAGCCACTGGAAGATTTGGCAATGGAAGAATACCTACAGATATGATTGGTATACATACTTTTCTACAATAAATCATTTTCATTAGTTTTTCTTTTTTATGGAATAAAGAGGAGATTCTAAAACCGTAATTAAGTATGTACAATTGTACATCCATATAGAACAAGATCTATACCATATTAAATTAATTATTATTATTTGGATAAACAGACTCACCCAACCAGACATTTTCATCATTTTTTTAGTTTTTTTCCATTAAAGGTGAATTCAGAATTTAATCTTTTTGGGGGTGGAATATTATGCATGCAGCCGAAGGTTTGGGAGTAAAGAACATTGTACCAGCTTATCGTAGTCCATTTCTTCAACCCAATGATATCTTAACCGGTGTTAGTTTTGCTTCTGGTGGTTCTGGTTTAGATCCAATGACCGCAAGAGTTCAGGTAACTTTAATCTTTTAATATTTTTATGTAATATATATAAATTCATAATATTAATTAAAATAAAAATTAAATACAGGGAGTTATCTGGATACCAGACCAATTGAACGACTTCAAAGCTTACATAGCAAAGCTAAATAGCATCACTGGAGATGAGGAGAAGACGAGATCAATCATCTCCAATGCAGTTTATGTAATTTCCGCTGGAAACAACGATCTTGGCATCACATTTGTCTCCAATCCAGCAAGAAACACTCGATATTCTATCTTCTCCTACACCAACATGATGATTTCATGGACACAATCATTCATGCAGGTACGTTAATTTCTAAAATTCAATAGCAAAATTTACATATATCAACTTATATTTGGTTTATATATACATATAGGAGTTATATAAATTGGGAGCAAGAAAATTTGCGATTATGGGAACGTTGCCATTGGGTTGCTTACCAGGAGCAAGCAATATTTTTGGAGGGATATGTCTAGAACCCGCAAACGCAATGGCTAGACTCTTTAACCAGAAACTAGCAAACGAAGTAAACAATCTGAACTCAACGCTCCCAGGCTCTCGTTCCATATACATTGACATGTATAATCCTCTTCTTGAACTCGTCAGGAACCCACTAAGATCAGGTTAGTGTTGTTTTCTTTTGGACTTTTTTTTTTTGTGAATGCATGGTTACGTTGCATGGATTTTCTTTTTCTTGTTTTGACGACCATTTATAATATATTTGGGTTTCTTCTAGGATTTACGTCGCCATCTAGGCCTTGCTGTTGTTCTCCCGCGGCTCCGGTACCGTGCGTTGATGCATCTCGTCATGTGTTTTGGGACATTGCTCACCCAACGGAGAAAGCTTATCAGACTATTATCCCTCCGATCATCCAACAGATTCAACAAAGCTTAGCTTGATTTGGGTGTCTTCGTCTCAACATATTCTATTTCACGTGATAATATATTAATAGATTTGTTCTTATAACTGCTAATGTTTCGTCGCATCTTATCTTATATGAATGTCTATAAATGATTATACATTAAACACAAGTCAATATTGTATTCATCCTAGCAATTTAACTTCCCAGGGTAGATACTACTATCAATTCATCTTGTTCTACTATGGATTATTATGTAAACATGTTAACAAGATCAAACATCTTGCACTTCTACTCAATATTCTTGGTCTTGTTCCGCCAAGTATCTTGTATCCAGCTCTTTTATATGCTTTCTGTTAACATGAAATCCAATGTTAATAGCTTGCAGCGTAATCAGTGCACAAAGAAACATGTCACGCATGAAACAATGATTACCAGAGAGACTTAATTTAAGTTTGTGGGTAGCACAACGTTTGTAAAGTTATCCAATTATCATCATAAAACGTTTATAGGAAAAAAGATTAAAATATAAAGTCTCTATTAACACAACGGAGAAGGTGTATAAAAATATTAAGGATTCAGCGGCGTGGTTGCCTCCGAAGATCAAGGGAGGGTGGTCAGGTCAACGGACATCCTGTTTTATGAGTTGGTCAATCTTTCTGGGTTTAATTTTAATTTTGAATCCCCGGTATAAGTAAGATTTAAATTTGACGTGTTACGCATGTTTCTTTCTTTTTTCTTGTTAGACATTTAGTTCAAACAGAAAAAAAACTTTGGAAAATATAGAAATACACATATGCATCATAATCTTCAATTAGAAATATGGAAAGCCGGTGATACTTTTATGGACTTTTTGTGGAAGCACATACATTTTGTGGATATCTACCGTTTATTATAAGTATTAACACTGCTGATTCATGATACTTATGCAAAATATAAATATACCCAAAGTCCAAACTCAAAGGATAAGATGCACATCAATCTCCAGTGCTTCAAAAGTTCAAGTGGAGTAATAAACAGTTTAGAATACAAGCTGTTATGTATTTTTATTCGAAAATGCTAATATATTGGGAAGAATCTTGTATGAAATCACCAAATCAATTAGTTTATGTTACACTTTTCACTTTTATCTTCCGTGTAAACTTATCCACAAGTTAAGGATTTTGTTGTTTAGTCTTCTTAAAGGACCATTTGTATAAGCTTAAAGACGCATCATGAATAATTTATCTAATATACATACAATCAACTATGTAAACATTATTAAACTAAAAGTGCATATAAACTATACAACTCTTGGTTACTAAAATTGCATATAAACTATACAACTCTTGGTTAAGCTACAAAACATCAAGTTGCAATGTGGTTAGAATGGTTTATGGGCTAATTATGAGATGTCTACACAACTAGTTAGCATGGATATCTATTTTTTTTAAACATGTCATAGTTTTTTTTTTTTTTGAAACATGTCATAGTTCTGGAGCCGAATTTGTTTAGTTATCTTAGAGTTCTGTTTATCCATTTTATATCATAACTGAATTGTTAGATGTAATAAATTTGACAACCAAAAATAATACAAACAACAAACATATAAGACTTCGAACACGTGTCGATAGAACAGTGGTTAAATTTAACTCTGTTGTGATTGGATTAGATTTGCCTACCATATGCGGCGAGGTTTCTTTACTTCTCCGATATTAAATTAACATTAAACCATTTGAATATTTGATGCTCATTTGGCAAAAAAAAAGAATGAATCTGAGAATTACAAGTGGCCAGACAAGAGGCCTTGAGAGTGGATGAGGATAAATAGCCTCGTAGACGAAGAGGTGGCTCTTGGGAAGAGGCAAGGGTCGGTTTACTTCCAATAACCGGCCTTTCTCAAGTGTAAAATAATAGTATTTCAACTCTTTTTCTTCATACTTCGGGACCCGTTTTTATCACTTTTCCACGTAGGATCAATAAAAAACATAAACATACGTGACCACATGGGGACAAACATCATACATGGTACCCAAAATAATATTGTTTTGTTGTCATCGATGACAAAAGCAATACTATTAAAAGTCACTTTTAGTGGAAGTTAAAAAGTACCAATGGAATATAATAGAGTTGGTGTATGTATCGAAAGTCCAGTTTCAGCACATAATATATTGCTAATGATCTCTTGGTTAGATCCTGTTGGTATAGCTTTTTAGGAGAGTAAGAAAAAGAGTTTTTGGTGCCAAAAAGAAAGAAAGAAACGAGTTTTTTGAACAATGTGTTCTTGTGGTTGTGTTAGAAGGCAATGCGGCTATTTGAAAATGTTTGAGGCATATTAATGCCACATGAAGTTTTATAATTATAAGAGTGTTGCAGAACACTTTTTTAATATACATAAGGGTGGTCAAATGGAGTTATTTATTTCAAGATATGCAAACTAACATTTCAAACTGTTGCTTAGGAAAATTTTCAAGATGCCTATATGTTAATTTCTTTTAAATGTTGCATTTGTACATATTATAATGAATGAACAAACCTTGTGGACAAGATCAACATGGACTTTTTTTTTTGTTCGGGTTGTTTACATATATCAGTTTTTACACTAAACTATATTGTTAAGTTTTCCTTTCATTTTAAACTGTAACAGCATAACTATCAGATCCAATTTCTATACGACTTAAAGCAGCATTAACGCAGGGGAAATAGGGGTGCCTAACCACTTCAAATATAGTTCACTATACAGTTAATTTTTTGCGTATTGTAGTAACTAAAATATAAAGAATCAAATACGCTCGTAGCGTGGGGCATAAGACAGAGACAAAGAAGAAGATATTTATTACATAAAAATGCCACGTGGCATTAAAAAAAATCGTAAAAGAGCAGGCTTCGTTGAGCTGTCTATAAAAAATGCCAGAGATGCATCCCTTCAACCCATCCCACACAAAAATTACCCAAAACAAATCTCTGTAACCAAAATCTATCCTAGTAACGATGGCCATAACGGCTACTCAAAACGACGATGTTTCGTTGATAACCGATAAAATTCAATACGATTTGGTGGAAATGGATGTTGACATCATCACTTCCGGTCGCCGTCGTATTCCGACACACTCAGGCGTCCTGGTAAGACTCTTTTTTGTTGCATGTCACGTTCAGTTTTATTATTCTTGTTTCGATATCAAACATTTATTTAATATTTTTTTTGTTTGAAACTGAGAAATGTAGGCTTCTGCATCGCCGGTACTCTCAAACATAATCAAGAAACCGAGGAAAAGTCACGGCGGGTCATCGAAGAGAGTCGTTAAAATTCTCGGTGTTCCATGCGACGCTGTTTCAGTCTTCGTTAGATTATTCTACTATCCCAGGTTAATCTCATATTTTTTACAAATATTCCGAATGATTAGGGTTTTGATAAAAAAAAAATTTTTGATAAACTTTTAGATGCTTTTTTATGAGTTTAATGAATTTATTAATTAGTTTTTGCTACTATAATCGTCGGGAATATTATTACTAAATGGATGATTTATTATTATTTGTTTTACTATAAAATTGACTTTTCTCATATAAATCAGATTACGATTGATTTGGACTTTATTTAGATTCAAAACGTGTGAAACACAAGGAAAGCGAAACTTACTACTATGCATCTAAGTTTAAACGTTATAATATTGAAACTACTCATAAACTAGTGGACTATATGTCTTAATCTTAAAGAGTGTGTAAAAATATAAACTCCAATTATACTGAGAGTTTCAACTAGAAATAATTAATATATAAAGAAGTTATACCAATTTATTTACCATTAATTGATGTAAAGCTGGAAATCCATGAATGTAACATTTCAACTGAGTTTTGTTCTTTATCAAGTCTTTGTATAATGTCTAAAATATATTTTTGTCTATTTCTTTAGTCTAACCGAGAAGGAGATGGAGAATTATGGAATCCATCTACTCGCTCTATCACACGTGTACATGGTGCCTCAGCTTAAGCAAAGGTGCACGAAAGGCGTTGGCGAGAGAGTGACGGCTGAGAACGTGGTTGATATTCTCCAGCTAGCTCGGCTCTGCGACGCACCTGACCTCTGTCTCAAGTGTATGCGTTTGATCCACTCAAAGTTTAAGATCGTTGAGCAAACAGAAGGATGGAAGTTTCTTCAAGAACACGATCCTTTTCTTGAACTCGACATTCTCCAATTCATCGATGAGGCTGAATCGGTAACAAAATAAACCCATAACGTTTTTTTCATTTGTTTCTATCCGTTCTTTTATTATGTATAAACCAAAAATTACTCTTATAATTGTTATGTAAAGGGCTATAAATATTTTTGATTATTAATTTGAGGATATTCAACCTATATATGTATAATAACACTTTAAAATTCAGGGACCAATGCGAATGTTTTATCTGAACTGGTGCTGTGTATTAGCCTCTGATCATCTTTAGGTATTTTGGGAAATTTCATGCAGAGGAAGAAAAGAAGACGGAGACACATACGAGAACAGAATCTTTATATGCAATTGAATGAAGCTATGGAATGTATAGAGCACATATGCACCGATGGTTGCACGTTGGTCGGACCATCTTCCAATTTAGACAACAACAAGTCAACATCTCAAGTCAAAAGCGGTCCATGCAGTGCTTTCTCCACGTGTTACGGACTCCAACTTTTGATACGTCACTTTGCAGTCTGCAAGAAACGAGTCGATGGCAAAGGGTGTGTTCGTTGCAAGAGAATGATTCAACTCCTTAGACTCCATTCTTCAATCTGCGACCAATCTGAGTCTTGCCGTGTCCCACTTTGCAGGTAAAATAACTGACGGTTTGAGAATAATTAAGCAAACCCCACGTTTTTTTTTTCTTTTATGATTCTAATGATGAAAGTATTCACTTCTCTATAGTAAAATCTCGTTTGATATTCACTTTCGGCGACAATAATATAGACAATATGTTTGTGGTGGTGACCTACTTATTAGATGATGAGTCATGATCAGAAGAGGCTGGAAATAACTTTTGTTTTCGTAAAGATATTTTACAAAAAAAAATATTGTTTTTTAAAAGATATTTTAGAAGTTGGAATCTAATTTTCATTGTCATTTTTTTTTGTGATTGGAGTAGGAAATTTAAGAACAAAGGAGAAAACTCAGAAAAGGACAAGAAAATGGTCGAGGACACGAAGTGGAAGGTTCTAGTGAGAAGAGTTGCGTCTGCGAAAGCCATGTCTACATTGTCTCAATCAAAGAAGAAGAAAAGTGAAGTGTTATTTCAAGAAGAAGCTGAAGATTTCATCAGAATGCGGAATAAGTTATTTTGATTTGTTATTGTATTCTAAGATTCTTGTAGATTATGTATGTAGTGAGCGATTGTTAGTAGTTTCATAGTTTGTCCCTTGGAATGGTTGATTGGGTTAAATTTGTCCATGAGTAACCCTTTTAAACTGCCGTTTTCTTGATCGTATTTTATAAATAAACGTATTCACTTTTGTATTGTTGTTCCTTTATAAGTAAAATTATTTGTATTTCTTTTTTTTAAATGGTTGTTTGCTTAACACACGATTTTAGTTGCACGACTAAAAGGAGACTAACAATGAGGCAAATTGTTTTACCATCAAGTTTTCGTCTATGATCCATTTTTGAAAAGTATAGTCCGAAAATTTTGTTTGCCTACTTCTGCAGTATTAAATCTTATGTATTTCTAGTATAAATATTTTATATATCATACGAAAAATCGGTTGGGATGTATCTGACATGACCAGGCCTCACTGCACTTTTTGTTTTGAACAAACCAGACCTGATTGTATATGAATCCTTAAGAGTAACCTTACCGTAGAGGTTCTCAATTTCGAGATTCTAAAAGAGTTTAATTTAATGTACTTTAATTATGTAGCTAAATTAAATTGACAAAAATGAAAATGTCCACCGCATAAACAAAACACTTGTTTTATAGCATGGTTCTCAAATAAGAACTTGTGAGAATTCCTTTTCACACTTATCTCTACTTTTTAAGAATTGAATATTATATTTCTGTTAAAGATACCCATTAAAAGTTTTTTTAGTGGAGATGCTCTGACAATTAGAGATTATATGTGAGATACTTATTTATTTAAAATTCAAGTTGTACTGTCCAATCAATTACGATATTTGTAACTATATATGAATGGAATGATAAAGAAAAAAAAATCGGGGAAGAAACATAAATTCAGTAGTTCAAAGAAAAAAGAAACATATATTCAGTATAATGGAAGTTGATCATGATTTGAGGATTCAAAAGAAAAAAAGAAACATCAAGATTGACCAACTGGTCTTAATCATTTGTATAGTGGAAGTTGATCATGATTTGAGGATTCAAAAGCAAACAAATCAAATAGAGTAATTAGGAAAAACGTGTGCTATTTTATCCTACGTTGCACGAAGCTTCATCCGACTTGCGCTTCCTACTTCCCACTTCGGAATCGGAATCAGAATCTTGTGGAAATTTGCAGAATCTCGATTCTAAAACGCTTCTAAAATAACCTATATAAAAACACGTTGAAAGCTTACGATTCCACTTTGGAATCACGCTTCCAAATTTTAAAATACAATATTATATATGCATGAAATATGATATCGTTTTTATATTTTATAGTACTCATCCGTTCTTTAAAGATACATTTTCTATAAAAAAATTGTTTTTAAAAGATCCATATTTTTTACATTTTCAATGCATGTTTTATTAATTAATTGTAAATTTCAAAAAACTTAATTTCACTAATAATTTTTTATTGGTTTTAAATTAGGGAAAGAAGATAAATACAAAAAAAAAACTAGGTAAATTTATTGTATTTTATTATAAAATGTGAAAAAACTAGAATATGGATCTTTTAGGAACATAGAGAGTATATAAAAGTATATATAGTGAGACTATATATATGTAAATACTAAAATTAATACTATAAGTCATATGTATGCACTGTTTTTATTAGAGATATATCATACATATATATATATATATATATATATATATATATATATATATATCATATATTTATATATATATATATATATATATTCAAATATGTTGTGCCAATTATTTATAAAATGTTAAAAATAACTAATTGGTAATATTTGTTTATAAATTTTATTTAACCATATTTTCATAATTATAATATGCAATCATTTAAAATTATAATAAATGAATAAATGCTTTATTTTAAATTAGAATCATATAATTCTCAGTTATAAAATTTATTAAATCTCTTATATATATATATTTGGATATACGCTTCCAACACGTATCCACTTCCTAATTTTTTAAAAAATCTCGATTATGCATTTTCATACGATTCCGCTTCTGCGCACCCGTTCCCATTTCCATGTAACATAGATTTTATCACAACAGATATTTATGTTGATTTATTGTGTAGTAGAAAAAGCTAGCGTGGGAAACATACGAACCACACAATGTGGTGGTTCGTGTCTGATGTCTCACATTTCAATTCATACTGATTAACTAACGTATGAATGCAATAACTAAAAAGTACTATAAAACAACATTAAGATTTACTTAACTGTTATGATACAATTTTTTTTTTACTTATTAGTGTTTATTCTTTTCGAACAATATCTTCATGCTATGACAAAACAATTTGGTTAAAGAAAATGTAAGACGAGTAGACGACGAGAATGTAAGACATATCTTTAAAAATAAAGTTCAGAAAGATCAAGTGAGTTTTAATTAAATAGTATATTTTTCTATAGTGAAGCCATGCAGTCACAAATGTTTTCATACTACGAGACCAGTAGAGAGTTCCTACTAGAGACAACACCAATAATTCATATCATAGAAATGTGAGTGGCTAAAGTTTCAACTACATATTAAAGGTAATTAGAAATAAAATGTTGTGTTTCTTTCCCCATAAAAAATGGACATAATCAGAAGCCAGATTAGTACTGATCAATGTGTTCCAATTTAGGTCCTTGAGCGGTGGCTCCTAATAGCTATTCAACGACGGTGAATTCAATAACAATGTCGAAAAGCGTTTGTTCACATTCATCGGCTTCAAACGAAGTACAGAGACAAGTTCTTATTTGTTAGCCAAAAGCGACATGTCAAGTGCTTACTTCTCATGGCTTATATGTGCTAATCAGAGACCATACCGAGCTTTTCCTTTAACAAAAGGGCTAATATGCATCAACAAGTTATTTTTATTTTTTTTATAATCTGCTGGACATCGTCGTTTCTCGTTGATAAGAAATACAAATGAAGAAAATCTAATTAAAAAGGGAAGATTTAAAAAGTGCCCACACGCAGGATCGAACTACGGACCTTCAGTTTACAAGACTGACGCTCTACCACTGAGCTATACGGGCATTTGTTCACTGGTTTCACTTGTACTTATAAATTGGATCAATAAAGCAATAGTTCTACAAGCATAGTTTCTGATCTTTTCAGCCAGTGAAATGTTTTGAATGGGTTATAGCTACTTGGATGCTGCATAGTTTCTGATGTTTAACTAAAACTTTATTTTGATGTTTTGTGATTACTTATACAAGCCGAACAAAGACGAATTGAAAACACAGTTACAAAGTGAGATATAATGCAAGATTTCGAGCATATCAGTTTTTATTATAGACAATCAGCTAAAAATTTATTCTTGAAAAAATTCATGCATGCAATTGCAAGCTTTATGTATAACATATCCAAAACCAAGACAGAAAATTGGGCTAATCACCTGAATACGTAAGAACATTTTTTTCTTTCTATATTACGTAGCCTGCATGTGCGAGTGATAAAATATTTGTTTTATTTTTGGTTGAACATTTTGATTATTTAATAGCGAAAGTGTGATGTAGTGTAATTTGATAATTTTAAAATAGGAATTTTTTATTTTTTATTTTTTATTTTTAGTAGGACAGTCTTTTCCCCTTTTTGTTTGTTTTCCATCTATTATATTAAAAGAGAAATCATGACTCACTTCATGTGTGATTTTTAAGTTTGGACCATCCTTAAAAAATTTATATAATATAACATCATTATAATATCTTTTCATATATTTAATTTGTATTTGAAATGCAAATAAATAATTTAAAAAAAATTCTAACAAAATCTTTTAAAAATCTTATAGCTTTTCAGATATAGTTTCAAAAATTATTTGATTAAAAATTTAATTATCACAGATTATAATTTATTTAATTCCTTTTTAACAAAAATTATGTAATATACTTTTACCAATATCCAAAATTTTTGTTTATGTATTATGTAGGTCCAATTTAATTTACTTTTTATATATTTAAAATTTAGAAATAAAACAAAATATATATAAATTAGTAATGTTACATAATAATGTTTATAAAAATTGTTACAAAAAGAAAAATTTATAAATTTTAAATTAATAATATTATTAGCTACATAAATATTATTATAAAATTAGATAGTATATACAATCAAATTATATTTATTGATAAATTTTACTCCCTCCATTACTTAATATATGATGTTTTGGATCATAGCACAAAAATTAAGAAATTTACATTCTTTTACAAATGTATTTTTAAATATATAATTTTATAATTATTCAACAAATTATTAAAAAGAGTAAAATTTTATCGGTTGAACAATTTCCAATAAAGTTAAAGATAACTTTAAAACCTCAAAATATACCTTAAAATCTCAAAACATCTTAAATTTTGAAATAAAATAAATCTTATAAAACATCATCTATTTAAAACGGAGTGAGTATTATATAATTTCAAATATTTTCATATTAAAATACCCGCACGGTTGTGCGGGTCGATATCTAGTAATCCCTTAATTTCCATTATATAAATTTCATATATTAAAATCGTGTTGTAGATGATATTGTAAATATAATTATTTTTGGTTCATCCCTTAAAGTGAACCTCTAGGTTCACCAAAAAAATGTTATTTCATATTTAACATCTTTGTTTTTTAAAAGAAACAAAATATTGTTAAGTTATATTATGTTTTTAATATAAAAATACAAAAATAAATAAATAAAAATAATAATAGTTACAAAAAAGAAAAAAATCTTTAAAAAATATATCTAACACTAAAACACTAATTCTTAAGCTTTGGATAAACCATAAACCTTTGGATAAATCTTAAAAACTAAACTAAAAACACTAAACACTAAATTTGGAAAACACTAAACCCTTAATCATAATCCCTAAACACTTGGATAAATTTTAAACCTTAAGGTTCATGGTTTATTCAAGGGTTTAGAGTTTAGTGCTTATCATCTAGTATTTAGTATTTATTCTTTAGTGTTTTTGATTTAATGTTTAAATTTATGTAAGGGTTTAGGGTTTATGATTTTTGCTGACGATGTTAACAATATTAAAAAATTAATTTTTTCGCAATTATTACTATTTTTATTTATTTTTATCTTTGATATTTTAAAAATATAACATAATTAGTGTAACATTATTTTATTTCTATTTTTAAAAGATACTAAATATGAAATAAGACAACCAAGGATTGGTGTATATTAAAAGAAAACCCTAGCACGGCGGTGGTAACTTGTGTCTGAGATTTGGTAAAAGGTTTAGAGAGAGAGGATGAGCGGGAACGATGCGGCGAAGACAGCTAAAATAGCGGTGTGGTGGGACATGAAGGACTGTCGGATTCCCGGGGGTATTGATGCTCATCGTGTCCGTCCATGTATAGAAGGTGGGTTCAAGGAACTTGGCTACTCTGGTCCTGTCTCAATCACTGCCTATGGAGACCAAACACAAACCTCTGAGTACCTCCTGCGAGCTCTCTCTTCCACTGGAGTCGACGTGGTACATATCAAATCTGGTTAGTCCAATTAATTGTTGTTATATTATATATATAAAAAAAAAGTTTATAGTTAGATCTTGTGTATCTATCTATAATGAATATGTGTCCTTTGTAATTAAATGAAACAGAAAGCACGTGCGCAGTCATGTATGATCATATGGTGAAATGGCCAGAAGATAATCCTCCTCCGGCTACAATGATGATCATAACCAATCAGATGCTAGAAGTCTTCAATTGGGATCTGGCCCGGCTTCAACAACGCACGAGTTACAACCTTTTTCTGGCTTATTCAGTTAGGCCTTGCGCAGTATTGTCGCTGGCCACTTGCAAAGAGTGGCTCTGGGAAGATTTACTACTTGGGACTACGTCTACAAGCGGTGCAGACACGGTGGGTGAATTATCTACCGTGTTTCATTGCGAATCTTGCTCTTTGGATTGCCAAAGCCTGAAGAGTTTCAAGAAGCATCTCTCCACTGAAAATCATGCCATCGAAGCAGGGCCGGCCCTGAGATTTTGGGGGCCTGTGACGGTTTCTATGTAAAAAAAAAATTTGGGGGCCTAAAAGGTTTTTTTTGGGGCCTATACTTATGTAATTTTCTTCAAAATTTTCGGGGGCCTGAAACAAATGTTTCATTAGGCATGCCCCAGGGCCGGCCCTGCATCGAAGTAACCATCCTATCCTTCTCTCTCTTTAATTATTCAAAAAAAAAAATAAGGATTTTAATAGTCTGATTTTAGTTTTTTCGGTTAGAAGTTAAGAAACAGTTTCTTAACTTTCACTAAGAATTCTACCTTAAAAACTTCGGGTTAATCATGGTTTAAGAGTTCAAATATTGTATTGTCTAACTACAGGAGGTTTTACACCCTCAGCCTACAGAACTCTATTCTGTAACGAGCACGTGGGGAAAGAACTACCCTGCGACGCCTGAATATGCGACAGCTAAAATCCATGTGTGTTGGGACATGTATGACTGTCCTATTCCCGACGGTTATGATCCTCGTCGGATCCGTCCCAGTTTGGAAGGAGCTTTCAAGAAACTAGGCTACTCTGGTGCTGTCTCCATCATTGCCTTTGGTGACCATAAACAAACCCCTCAAGGCCACCTTCAAGCCCTCTCTTCCACTGGAATCGATGTTGCACATGCCATTCCGGGTTAAGTCCATTTGGAATTTAAAAATAAATAAATTATAGCAATTATCCCTTGCTTATTACCCTTTTGTTTTCTTGAAACAACAGACAGAATATACTCGCGCATGTATGATGATTTGATGGAATGGGAAAAAGACAATCCTGCTCCGGCTACAATGATGATCATATCTGATGAGGCTGAATATGTCTTTGGAGATAGTCTTGCTAGGGCACAACAACGAAAGAAGAAATACAACCTTTTTTGGGCTTATTCTTTTAGGCCACGGGAAATGTCAGTCATGCTCACTTCTGCCGAGTGGCTCTGGGATTGCTTACTTGCAGGTTTCTTTTTTTTTTTTTTCACCTCTCTTCCATTTATATATATATATATATAACCACTAAACTAATCTCTTTTTTTTTTTTTTTTTTTTTGGA